TCAATCTTTTTTGATTGGGCGACTCTTAGGGGGTTTCCACTGTGACGAGTTTCTTAGTGTGAACAAGAAGCAGAGACAGCAATAGCAAGAGGATGACATCATCCAGTGCAGGTCATGGGCGAAGATTGGGGTTAAAGGCTGGAACAGGTCTAGAATCAAGGTCATTTGTGATTGGTAGCGAAAATGGAGGCTTGGCAGATAACATGCTGAATTAAAGTCAGGGTGAGGAAGAAACTACAGTATTGTTAGCTCGTTTTCCATCTAAATTGCCGCCATGGAGTCTAAAGAATCTAGGTTTTGGAGGAGAACGAGTGAACTATGTTTTAATTCCATTTTATTTTGTTTGTGTTTTTATTTCGAACTGTATGTTGTTTTGTTTGTCCTTTTATTTCTGGTTGGAGTTCTTTTAAAAGGAAAAGCTTCGGTTCCAGTCGTTTTAGGCTTAAATTTGCCCGTTTCAGGTTTAGCGAGTTAGGTTGCTTTGTATGAGGTGGTTGACTCTAAGTCTACTCATAAGGTTCACAATTGGATCTGTAAAATTTGTCTTAAGGTTGTCTTGTATCCGTTCTCGTTTTTAATATAATAGCCGCTCTTTTACGATAACAAAAAATACCACTTGGATCTAATTCAAATGCAGCTTAAGATACGGCAATGAACTTTCACCTAGACACTACATCCTCGTTTTCTCTTCTTTTCTTTTGTTCTCTTCTTTCAATCCTTTCTTAATCAATGTTTTCAATTTTATCTATATATTTCTTTCATAACGTTGTCTAGAGATATTATTTTTGGAGGCAAAGTATCATCTATCATATGTTTAATCTCCGCCATCTTCGGTCGGGCGTTCTTGAGAGCCAACAAGACGTTTGCATTGATCAAATGTTTAAACAATAACGTTTAAGTTTCAAAGAAGATAATTATTTTCAGTCATGGCCTCTTATGAGAGGACTATAAATGATAGTCAAGGTCATTCTTTGTGGCATGTTGAACTCTTATTTAAAAAAGTCATGAAAAAGAACGAACTTTTTCTTCTCTTTTTTTCCTTTTCTTCTATGTTTTGTTTTGTTTTTAGTTTAGGCTGGACAAATAGGGTTCACTTACCCTGAAGGAACACGCCGGCTCGCAAGATTTTAAGGTGTTTATCAAGCGTGACTTTATATAAGGGTTGAATAGCCCGATTTTTTTTTGCCCATTTAGCCCTTTTAGCCAGATGAATCAGAGACAACCCAACCGCCAAAGCATAAAAGATTGGGAGTTGTTATTTTGGGTTTGGGAACATAGGAGAGGACCGACCAACTGCCAATGCAGCGACACTCATGTCAAGCTCGACTGTGGATTGTTGTTTAACATCCATGATTAAGTGTAGCTCATTTAGAGTGTGTTTGACACTCTGGTGTCGTCCATCTCGATTTGGGTTGAGGGGACATGCTGAAGCAGTTGTCCTGCACCAAATTGGTATAAAGAAATCAAACATTATCATGGAGACTTTGACAACATGAAGTTGTCAATAATGAGATCAATGTTTACAAGAACAAAGGAGGACATTTTGGAAGAGCATTGGCGATAAAAGGACGTCAACAAAATGATGAAAAGTTTGATCCAGGTTTGTCAATTAATTTTAACTTAAATAAATTGTACTGATTAAAAAAAGTACTTGTTACATCATGCATCTTGAACTTGTTGTAGTACTGAAAATGAATAGTTCAAGACTGAATTCACATGTATGGCTTAGAGCATGTACATTTCTTTTAAATCATTTAAATAATGGAAAGTTCGTATTATTGTGCATCAGTTTCGTATGTGATTAGGATTGCTTGCTATGAAGTATGAAATGTCTCCTACGTCAAAGAAATGAAAGCATGCACACTTATTTTTATTTCAATCATTTTTCCCTGCTACTATCCATCTTTAAGTATGAACTGTCTGCTACTATGCATCTCTAAGCATTATTTTCCCCCAACAAATTGGTGGATGATATATGGACATCAAGTGCCTAATTTGCAAAGACTAGATATTAGGATCCTATGTTTGACTAGTAGTTCATCCGAGTGTGAAAGAAACTGGGGTACTTTTGAATGGGCTAGTATTTTATATTTTTTTTTATTTTATTTTAATTTCAATGATATGACTTCCTTCAGTTTTAGATCATGTATTTTAGTATCTAATAACGTTTCAATCTTGATTGTTAAAATGTTTCAGATTCATTCGAAGAAAAGAAATAGATTGGATGTCAAACTTTTGAACAGTCTCGTTTATGTCCAATTTAAAGCAAAGTTATTGAAAAGGACAATAAAAAGGACATGGATGACTATATTGCTCTATTAGCAAGTGATGCAAATAATGCACAAGGATGGTTGGTTGATGTCTGCGAAACAACCGAAGAAATTGATCATTCTATCATTGAAGTTGTTGAAGGTGATGAAGTGTCACAGCCACCGCGGAGAAGTGCTAGACTGAGAGAACTTTATGATGATGAGTTCAAATCTGATTCAGAAGAAATGAATATGGAGATTGATTTTCAATTTGGCCAAGAAGATGAAATACCATATGGCCTAGGAACACATTGCACATGTGTTAAACTGCTGATGAAGTCTTCAATCTGTGTTGGACTGTTGGTTTAAAGTTTAAACTATTTTTTCTCAAGTTTAGTGTTCATTTAAACTCTACGTTTGTGTTTATGGCTTTTAGCCTTTGACAGCTATGTTTTTTTCCTTTTTGGATGAACAACTGTATTTAAACTCTACAATTAGGTACATTAGTTAAATGGTTTTTCTCTTTGACATCTTTGTTTTTTTGCTTTTTTAATGAGCAACTACACTATTATGTTCATGGCTTCTTATATTATTGGGAAAATTGTCAAATAAGCCTTTGTAGTATATCATAAAAGTCAATCAAACCCTCGAACTAAAGAAACACCCAATTAACCCACTAACTTTGCAAAAACACTCAAATTCATAATTCAACAGGTGAAAATCCGGTTATCAGGTCATATTGCTGACGTGGCGACTGATGTGTTATTTTTAATTTTTTTTCTTTCTTTTTATTTTCCTTTCCTTTTGGTCTCCTCCTACTTCCTTCTTGAGACCATGCATCTCTTAATTGAGTCTTTTTAGTAAAGGGTTTAATTGATTTTTTTATATACTAGGATGACTTATTTAACAATTTTCCCTATATTATTTTATTTATACCTTTTAATCTCTTATACGAATACATGATTGACATTTTTGAAATTTTAATTTTATCATTTGTACAACCATAGTTCGAGGAATTATATTTAAAAAAAATGATTTTATGCCGGTGACTAGGCAGTGATACAATGAAATTACGAAATCAAAATTACAAAAGCAAAATTACAATCATTGTCCCCCTATCTCACCTCTGGCAAAAATTACAAAATCAAAATTCAAGTTCTTCCCAAAAAAATCAAAAATCAACATAACGATTTGTAGCAAATCCAAAGTTGTTACTAGGGGTGGGAAAAACCGACCCAAAATCCGGTAACCGAATTGACCCAACCCGATATATGACATTGGTCCGGCTGTCCAGGTTTTATTTTAAAAATGACCAGTCCGGGTTAAAATACCCGACCTGAACCCGAAAACATGGGTCCAAATTCGGGTTCCAAAAATTTAAGCCCGACCCGGACCGAAAAAACCCGATTTAATTAAGAAACTAAAAAATATATATTCTATATAAAATACATATGATATGACCTATTAATACATCATACCATTTTTTTACATATAATACGTATACATGAACTATTTTATACTACTTCCGTCCTAAATTGATTTGCAAAATTGATTTTTTTAATCAAACAATTTCATTTTATTCATTTAATTACGACGTCAATTTTTAATTACGAAGTATATTTGATTTGGAGTTTCCAACTTTAAAGAGATTTTCAAAAAAAAAACTTTAAAGAGATTTTAATGTAATTTTTGAATATGTAAAATTTAATTATTAAAAATTGAATTAAGTATCAATATGGAGGATTTAACTTTAACATTGGTTGACCAAAAAATTTTGAGTTTGTAAATAAATTTGGGACGGAGGGAGTATTATTTTGCTTTCGAACCAATTGTTCTTCTACAACATTTTCTATCGAGTGATTTTAAGATTCAAAATATACTGCTTCGGTTTTTACTATGTATATATATATTTATTCTATTTGAAGTTTAGAACTTTAGATATTTGCAATTTTTATTGTGATTCTATTTCAATTGTATTTAGATATCTGAGTTCAATTTTTTTCCGAGTTCAACCCAACCTGACCTGAACCCAATCCGAACCCGAGGATCTTAAAACCCGGACCAACCCGTAACTCCCTAAGTATTGGTCCTTCGATCGAGCCCAAAAATGTAGAACCCGAAGATTTACGGGTTTTTAGCGGTCTTAACCAAAACCCGACCTAACCCGACCCGATCCCACATTCCCACCCCTAGACCCTAGTTGTTACCTTAGAAAATTGCCTCATCACAAAAAACTAAAAGACACAACTCAAAATATACAGTAAATCATAAAAGAATAGACTAATTACCCGAAATAGGACTAAAAAGGTTTGAAAATTCCAAAATAAGATTAATTACTGTCATGTTTTAGCAATACCAGACTTCAAACATGACAATATTTTCCAAATTTTACCGTAATTTTCAACCATAAGTCCATAAAAGGTGTTACAGCACAATGATGACTAATGGAATATAGAGAATTTTCTTGGGTTTAGGGTTTTTACATGGACTATAATTTGGTGACCTTGTCTAAATGGTTAGTCAGGTCTACTCTGATCTAGTCTAATCTCGCCTGATCAAGTTTGGTCTAGTCAACTGTAATCTATTTGATTCTAATCTAATCTATTTGATTTTAATCTAATCTGTTCAAAATTGATCTGATCTATATATTAGTGATCCGTGAATCCGTGATAAAGGTTTCTTTTCTGTGCAATGCAAAACTAAAATACGGAACCTCAGCAATTAATCGACTAAAGTCTAAAACTAGTCTAGTGTAACTATTATAAGAGAAATATTAGGCAAGGTTCCAATTAGGATTAAAATTACTACTAATTAGACATTAAGATTTTTGAACTAATTAATATGAGAACACTCGGATTGGAATATCAAAAGATAAAGCAATAATGCTACAGTAGGCGTTTTGAGTCTGGTTGAGAATTTATAACACGAAAAATGTAGAGATGTGATTTCTTATACGTCCTATTGCAAAACAGACACTGAAATGAGACTGATGAAAATTCAGAGTTCATTTTACTTCGGAAGTATTTTTGAATTCAAGACTTGGGCAATTAACAAAGATGAAGACTAAGCGAAATCCCAGAGTACAACACAGAGCAATCTTGACTTCAGACAATTGCATTTGCTGCGCTAGCAATTCTGGGCCATAAGTCAGCACACTCTTTACCTATTGGACCAGTAATTGCAGAACCTAAGCCAGCAAGAAAGCACCATAAATCAGCTACTTATTGTGGGAATGTAAAGCCATACAAATGCTCTGTGGGATTTATTATTATAAAATAGTCAAATACGGTTAAGTTGATGCATAACAAATTTTATGATTACTAAATAGCATTGCATACCTTTCATTTCACCCTTGGGATTTACTATAACGCCAGCATTATCTGTTAAAAGGATTGATTGAAACCACATTAGCATTGTCAGAACTGCATCCAAATTTTATTTGATAAAGAGAAAACAACTTCAAAGGGACAGCACAGAATATCATTAAAATTTTAGCTAGTGCTTACTAAGGGCTTTAAAAATTGATGAGGAAGAGCAAGTATGCTTCTATTGTCCATGACTAATACGGAGTATTAAACTTGAAATAATATCCAAATTTAATGGGTGAAGAACTATTTGGTTTTGTTGATGTTTGGTCTCTATGGAGCAGGAGTGTGCTTGAGAAACACCAGCGCTCCTGTAACGAAAGACCATATCAATATACCAGACTTGTAACTGCACTAACCACAAATATGGTTACTACCTGACAAAGTCTGGAACAAGGTTGTTAAAATCGCGATTCACATCGTAAAATCGTACGATTTTACAATTCAGAATCACTCATCCGATTTAGATCGTATGCAAAATCGAATTTGCACAAAATCGGCTTGAAATTGTGATTGCAAAACAACTTTACAATTTTAAATTCGAAGCGTAGGCCGAAGAAGTGAAGCCCAGTGGAAGGCCCAAGCTCACAATTATCGGCTGGCTTTGGTGCTGTTGGTAGGAAAGTACAAGACATGAATTTATTAGGGCAAGGAGAGAAGCAAATTTAAAACGAAAGGGAGGAAAGAACAAATTTTAAAAAAAGTAAAGGCACGCCTCCATTGCCTACAGGGACTCAAAGCCACTTCCAAACCTTGCAAGCACAATAGACATTAGTGATTAGTCACATTATGAATCAATACGCAGTACTAATTTCTATGGAGTAACTACATATATTACCATTGCTTACAACTAAGACATATTTTTGCTAACAAGTTTACTTCTTATCATCTTATGGGCTTTTATTAACACAAAATTGTAAAATTAAAACTTATTATTTGACTTAATAGTGTTATGTTGTGGGTTTCTATTTATCTAATATTTAAAATATTTTTTATTCTTTATCTTTTATAAAATCTTACGATTTACGATTCGATTTTACGATTCGATTTTTAAATCTATGCTCCGATTCGATCCAAAATGCGATTTTAACAACCTTGGTCTGGAAGCAGCCATACTCTCAAATAGAAGAGGATGTAGCTATGAGTAACGATATATTGCTAGTACGCAACATTTGATGCCAGACTAATCTCAAGTAACAATAGCATTCATTCTTTTACAATTGAAATAATTGATTGAAGAAATCATAAGACGTATTACACATAATCTGCTAGACCAGATTATACACTTCTAACAAATAACAAACTAGGTACTATTAATGTCTGGTCTTATGGAACAGAAGTGTCCAAGAAAATCATCAGCACTCCTGTAACGAAAGACAATTTTTTATATCCCAGACTAGTAACTGTACGAACCATTGGTTTGGTTAATACCTGACAAAGTCTGGATGTCTGTCCAGACAATTAAAAAGATTGTTTAACCATGAGCAACACATTGTGGTTACTCAGAGTCATAAAAGATATTTCCCGAACTTCTGTAGGTAATTAGGTGGTTAGAACAAGACACCAGACCAAGGTGTAGGGGAAGATCGGTAGTTCAACTTTAGCTGGTCATGGGAGGTATTGAGATGCTTCTGAATGAACTCTCTCAACACTACATTACCAGCAAAACCACTACGGAACTAGGAAGTCTGATTGAAGAACGGGTGGAAACTTGCACAAAATTCATACACAACTCACTAGATCCAAAATCACACTAGGTTATCTATGGTCCGTACAACATCCTGCCATGCCGATTTCTATATATGAATGGTTTGTATTACCCAGCATGCAATCTATAATAGTGCAAGTAGTGTTCTTAGTAATGTTAAAATTTATAATCAATAGTAAAAAATAACGAAATCTAAGGCATTTGCAGAATAAATGATATACCACAACATAAAAACCAGCTAAAACTCATGATGTTGTTGCACGAAAAGCGGTAGAGAAAAAGATAAAAAAGAGAGGAGAGTTAACCTTCAAAGTACATGAAAACTCCATCCTTTCGGCGAAAAGGCTTTCTCTGACGAACAATGACAGCAGGCATGACCTTCTTCCGGAGATCAGGCTTCCCCTTCTTCACAGTAGCCATCACCATATCACCCACACAAGCTGACGGCAGCCGGTTAAGGCGACCCTTGATGCCCTTGACGGAAATAATGTAGAGGTTTTTAGCCCCAGTGTTATCGGCGCAGTTAACCGTCGCCGCCACCGGCAAACCCAGCGACATACGGAACTTGTTCCCGGCCGATCCTCCGCGCCCTTCAAAATCGAACAACAGTAAGATGAGTTTATGCACATAATCGATCAATCAATTAAACAATTGGATACGTAAAAGTATACGAACCTCGCTTAGACATTTTGAGCTTGGGAAAATGGGAAAACTGGGATGGAGTATATGCTGCATTATATACACACACAAGGCTAGGGTTTCGTTTCTTAGTTTCTGGACTTCCGGAATCCGGATCCTATAAGCCTTTTACAGGGTGGACCGATATAATATTAGGCATTTGGGCGGTGCAAGCCCACACTGTCTTGCATATGGGATGGGTCCGTTCTGCCCCGCCAACACAACAAGGCGGGTCCGAGTAATGATATCGACCCATGTCGTTCCGCTATGATTAGCCCGCTTATTATGTAAGTGTACGTAATCACTTAACAAATAAGAATTTATTAATTCATATCAAATTAACACTATCGATTAGGCTTGGGATCGGTTCGGTTCTTGTTAAAATTCGATGAAACCGGATTACAACTTTTAGATGCTAAATTCGGTTCATTTTTGTTAAAAATGTAATTGTTAAATTCGGGTCGTTTCTAGTTAAATTCGGTTCAGTTCTTACATTTTTCGGTTCCTAATAAAAATTTATTATCCTCCTAATAAAATAAACACACTTTACCTTCAGGTGCATAAAAATTTCAAATTTCAAATGATGAAATCATGACCATAACGTTATACGTACATGATATTCCAATGTTCAAATATCACAAAAATATCCATGTGAAAACATTAAGTTTGAACATAACAAAAACATACTCCCTCCGTCCCAAAATGGTTGGCCAATGTTGACTTGCACGTGGATTAATAAAGTAAAAACTGTGTGGTTGAAATTTGTGCAGAGGAGAGAGAATTAACTTTAGCCACATATTTATTACTTTAAATGGAAATGGCCAACCTTTTTGGGACGGCCAAAAAAGGAAATTTGGCCAACCATTTTGGGACGGGGGGAGTAAAAGTTTAAGATAGGCATCAACTATCAAGCAAAAAGATTCAATAGTTTCAAGGTACACATCCAATAGCGGGTAGTTCATCCCTCAAAATAATATTCTTCTACTAGTAAAGCATCATAAGTAAAAAGTACACAGTAATAAGTTGATCATCCAGTAATATTCGTAATTTAATATCAACAAATAATAACGTAATCAGCGGAATATTATTTCCTTTTTAGGTGAACTCTAATAACAAATACAATCATAATTCAAACAAATAATAAATATAAAAATGGCCTAAAGTAGTAAAATTACAAGTATTCGAATTAGTGTGGTCCAAAAAAATACTACGTATATAAGGAATATAATGCAAGACAAATATTTTTGACAAGAATTTTTTACTCGGAACGCCGTTTGGCCACCTTCATTTGAGGTTCTTCCGTGTAGAATTTTTTGATTATATTTTGTGAGAATGTTATACATGAAGTGTAGATTACTTCCACCAAATTTCAGCTTAAAATGCAATCGTGAAGTGAGTTAAATAAAATATTGAAAAAAATGCATTTTTATATGTATTTTGACATAGTGTTTTTTAATAATTTATTTAACTAACTTACTGATTGAATTTTAAGCTCAAACTTGGTGGACATAATATACATTTCATGAAAAACAAGCTCACAAAATTTCATCAAAAAGTTCTACCCAGAAGCACCTCAAATGAAGATTATTCATGCAATGTATAAGAAATCGGTTCTTGCCTATGAACCGGAACCGAACTGGAAACGAACCGGAACCAGACCGATCATATACTATACGAACCGAACCGAAAAAGGTGAAGTCCAAAATAGTAGGAACCGAACCGAACCGGAAAATTTGGCTTGGTTCAGATCGATTTTCCCGGTTTTACGGTTCCAAGTCCCGTGCCTACTATCGATGGATGCCATGAGCATTGCACTAGTATACTTTATACACTATAGATCCATAAGTAAGTTATTGAAAGACTCAGGCAAGCTTTTTTATTTTTTACTGTTTTAATTAATCCATATATTTTTTTATTTCATGGAATAATAACATACTCCTTTCATCTCACATATTTTGCCAAGTTTGTCAATTTCATTCAAAGTAAGAAATTGGTGGTTAAAATCAATTCTCCCTTCTGCGTAAATCTCAACCGCACAGTTTTACTATAGTATTTTACGTAAAAGTCAAAGTTGACTAGGCTTCATGGAATAGTGGAAGTATATATTACCAAGCTATAGGCATGACAATGGGTCAGGGCGGGGCGGGTACTGCAAGACCCGGACCCGCCCCGTGACTTGGCAAGGCAATGGGTCCAAACTTGTTGACTCATGACCTGCCCTGCCCCGCTGTAACCTAATTAGCTAATATGTATTTTTATTTGTGGGAAGTTGTTACCAATTGAATCTACATAAAGTTTATCTCTAAATAACAATTAAAAATTAATATATTAAATCAAATTCATGATATGCTAAAAATTTCAAAAATTAAGGAAAAATTACTCAGACTTGAATAATCAATCTATTTAATTATATTAATAATTGAATATATGCATTAAAATGCTATATATAACGATGACATTGATAATCCGTTGTTCATCTCATTCTAATATATATTAATATATTATAAGCTCAAAGCATTTTATAATTTATCGTATGCACACATATGTATGTTGAAGTATATTTGTAGTGTAATTTTTAAAAAAAGTATGTATACGTATATATTGAACGGGTCGGGTCGGGGCGGGGCGGGTCAATACTTATACCCGGACCCGCCCCATTGTATAGGCGGGGCGGAGCAGACCCGCCCCATTTGCAAGACGGGACGGACCCACCCCAAATGTCTCGAGCCAGGGCGGGTCATTGCGGGTCGGTTTTTTTGACAAACATGTGACTCCTTGTACAAAGTGAATGTTGATATTGTTCTAAAGAGACTAGTATAATGTGAGATAGGTTACATATGTCATCTATAAATTTTAATTGAGAGTTGGAGCCTATGCAAATACTAACTTTTAGCAACTAGTATAATGTGAGATAGGTTACATATGTCATCTATAAATTTTAATTGAGAGTTGGAGCCTATGCAAATACTAACTCTAGTCACATATGTCATCTATAAATTTTAAGTGAGCAATAGAAGGGAAATAGGTTACAATTATTTAGATATTTTATGTTAATTTGTGGGAGAATATGTTTGTGTGCTCAAATTGCTTCATTATTGAACAAAGTATTTTGATATTAATTCTACAAATACATCGGATAAATTATCATAAAAAATGAGATTGTAACATTATCATCACTCATTTGAAGACTTTTAATAAATACAATTAAAACCTAAGTTTTTTCATCATTAACCACGTTATACGAGTCCATAGGGATGTTTAAGGTGTTTTTATTTTGGGGGGGGGGGGGGGGGGGGGATTAGTCACAACTTCATTTAAACTCGTTTTTTTTTGTCAATGTGCCTTCCTAATGAGATTATTTGGGGATGTCACGACATTCCATGGACTTATAATTTCTAGCACTTCAATTTGTGCTTAAACATCCTTCTCCTCATGAATTTCCAAAAGTAATTAACCAGCCTTTACAATCTTCAAACCTGTTTGATAATAACCATGACGAACTGAGAGTGGACAATCAATGATGCAACATTAGGTATCTTCACACTCGCCTTGTTACATTCAATATTCTACTTGACCTGCTTACCTAAGATAAGAAGAGTTCATCGATGATACTCTCTCTAATTACATAAATCCACGACTACTATTGTACTTGCTCCGAAAGTAGAATCTCACCTCCTGCCCTATGAACCACTCCACAGCCCACTTCAAAGAATGCCATGATGCGAAAATGAGGTACCCGGTGGTCTGTCTCTTAGGTGGGGAGGCCAAAACCCTCCTTAATAATGAGGCAACCGTTCTTCTGTGTTGGGGCAGGCAAGGTGGAGCTGAAACGACATTTTTGTTTCTTCTCCACCTTCATAAGGTGGTATTTTGTAACATAAGTCATCTTGTTGATGCTAGCTTACTGATTAGGGAAAAAAACTCAAGAAACATCCCCCTTCCAATGTACCGCCCACCTTACACGGTATAAAGTATAAACACCTTCACCAATTGGAGCAAAGGAATTCTATATATTATCTAGACAGTATAAACAAGACTTAACTACAATTTGGTGAAATAACCCAAACAAAAAAGAAATCAAACTTGCATCAGATGCAAATTCATGTACAAAATGAATACCCATATGCGTAGTATTGTCTATGCCTTAGAAGCCGAATCTTTTTGTTGTTCCTTCACCTTCTGTACATTTTGGACCGAAATATAGGTTCATGACTATGAATGATTGCAGTGGCAATGGCGAAAGACTGCAGAGCTGACAGGTTTGGTTCAAAGTGAACATAAAATAAATCATCGTGGATATTTGAGATTTTCATTATGGGTGCGTTTTGTCTCGAACCCTGTAAAACCATAGTACAAATAATTACAGCAATCCGTTTTCACAGGCTCAGTTTCACAATGCACATATGTAGCTGCAAACAACAAACTAAAAGCATTGACCCTCAAACATGTAGGATAAAATGAAACCACAAGTAGCCTGATCTATTTTGGAATGCATGCCCAATTTAGGTCCTCAAGTCAATTGATCATTCATTATTATTTAATCTGGCTTTGACTTTCTTTTGGACTCAATTTGGTCATTGGCTATGCAATTTGGTCTTCGGTCTTGAGGCATATGTCGTAATAACGAAGGGTACTTTGTCCAACATTAAATAAAATGGTCCAAACTCCAAATTACATACTTGGTGAGGAAATAGACATATCCTTTTTATTTGGTACCTTAATGAATGAGGAGTTGATGACTAAATTGTAGCCGCATTTCATAGTCGGGTACCAAATTGAGTCCAAAAGAAAGTTAATGACAAACTTGAGGAAGGCAATGCTTGTGTTTGCTTGTTGTGAGAAGTGAGTCATTTTACTGTATAAATATGCTTAAAAGTAAAAGCTTGTGATTTTTGAATATAAAATAATCTTAAA